TTTTTTTTACCCTCTGTCAGGCTAAATTTATTATATAATTTTATATTATCACTTGTATATTAATAATTATATATTATTATTAATTTATAGATTTTTAAATTTTTAAATTCTTATATTTGTTTTTATATTGGTTTTATATTTCAGACAGTTATTAATTATAAAGAAAAATTTATTACTTGCATATTTTTATTAAATTTTTTCTTATTTCAAAACAGATTACTATAAAATTTTATTTTTTAAATGTAAATAGAGCTCTTGAAATATAATATATGTTACTTTTATTTTATTTAATATTATTTTTACTAAATTTAAATAAATTTAATTGTTTTTACTAATTTTGATAAGTTAATATTTTTTTTATTAAAATATTATTTAACTCTATTTAAATTTTAATATAATTGTTTAGATATTTTTATATTTGATAATATTATTTAATCTGATCTTATAAATATAAATATTTTTAATTTCACTATATTATTTAAATATTCTTGATTTAGAATTTATTTGTTTTATAATTAACATCAATTAGACTAATATATCAGATATCTTTTCTTTCTTCAAGATCTAAGTTTCTAAAAACTTTTTTATTGTCATTAATATTTTGTAACTTTAATATATATTTCTTTTTTTTTTGACTCTAGTTACTAAATAATAAAGTTATTTTCTTTTTAATTTATATTTTCAAGGCATTTTATCAGATCTTATTTTTATTAATACAGTATAAAAAATTATTTATTTATTTTTATTTTTGAATTCTTCTCGTAATAATTTTGACTTCTAAAAAGTTTTAGAATATTACTCAAGTAGGTTTTGATTACTTCTTCAGTTTCTTTTGAAATAGTTTATTCTTTAAAAAACATCACATAAATTAAATTGTTACATAAATCGAAAAAAAAAAATTCTAATTAAATTATTCTTGTAATAAGATATAAATTGAACAAATAATTTAATGCATAAATCTTCAATTTTATATTATTTCTAAAGTAAAAATTCGCATATAATTCAAGTTGATAAAATTTTAAAGAATATAATTGATTCTTTTTTTTTTTTTTACCAACCGCATATATACAGTAATATGTTCGATTCAATCATTTGAAGCAATTTAGACCGATCGATTAATAATACCAAAAAATCCATGCCCATTTGTAAATAAAAATATGCCATTAAAGCCAAAGGCAACCTACATGTAATAAAAAACATTATGATTCATGACTCCGTTTAAGCAAAACATCTAAAGTTAGGTAAGCGAAATCCCTACCGGCTTTCCATTATTTAACCAATTTAAGATATTTATTAAATCTATGAATTTACTATGGTTATCTGGTATGCCGGGAGTCGGTAAAAATAGAACATGTGGCTCTGGATAATTTTCATTTAAGATAGAGTATCCGACAAATACTTCCATCTTATCTGGCCAAATGTGTGTCATACTGAAGTTTATTAAAACATAAGACAAAAGTCTATTAATTGAAAGAAACAACATCGAAAATTCCTTACTGGTCATTAGATAATGAAAGACCGGCTTGTGTAGGAAATGCAGTAACGTGACAGCAGACGATGTCACGGATTTCTATCCATCCATCCCAAAGAGACGCATGATAAATATTGGTGCAAACACCCGTCTGATCGTCAACCACTGAGTTAGGGAGTACGATCTGATCAGAGGTAGCTGACATAGGTGCTCCCATTGTATGAACAGATGATCCGGACGTATTAAAGGGACTGACATTTTGTGAATAATCTAAAGAATGGAAGTACAAATCGGTTTTGTTGAGAGTAACACTTGAGCTACAAATTACATGAAATTTTTTTTACCTTGAGCATAGGTTGGTGGTTGGATATTCTGCGCACAAAGTGCTATAAAAATCGTAGCGCATATATGCAAAGAAAGAGTTACGTCGATTTAGTCTAATTAGTCAGTTAACAAAATAGTGACGCCAATTATTACAATACCTTGACCTTTGAGAGTACAAGAGAGTCCTTTGTCATCGCAGCTTTTACACGGAGGAGCATCCACTCCGCTGCATTTTTTCTTAGCGCGATGACAGATATCACATGCTTTCGAGTATTGGCCTCGTTTATTCTCTCTGAAATTTGTATGTGAATAGCGAATGATTAAAGGTAATACCTTGATTCATTATGAATAATATTCAAGATTTATAAAATTACCGACTTGTTTTCTGTAGACATGGCTTATAGGATTAATTTATCGGTGATTAATTCTCTTACAAAAGGATTTAAACCAAATGAAATTGTTTATGAATTTAATTAGATCTGAGGAAAGTACTGCTTTATTTATAAACGGTTATGCCTTAACTGCTGAACCAAGTTCATGCATTTCAATCGAAACATTAGCCAATCACGGTCTGGCGGAATTTTTGGGCTCATATGGTCTCATAGGAAGAACTTTGTCGGAATTAATCGATGGACTCCTATATATGCTAGTTACTTGAAATATTTTGTAATTGAAACTTCGTGCATTCATTTTCTGAATGTATTACGTGGATCGGCTCTTTACTAGCCGTGGGAAATGATTTTACAAAGTGAAGTCATGGCGCTGTTATACGGAATGAAGGACATTAAAGGCCTCTTTTGGAGAACCCGAGAAGAATCTACCCTTGGTCAGTCCACAGATAAGCTATTATACTTTAATTTTTGAATTCACGATTGATTGAGCTTCAACTGAAACGCAGAATGTACAGTATATTCAATATCAAATAAGTTTCGATTCAATTCCGATTCAGTATTCCCTTTATTCGGCAAAAAACGCGCATTATGTATTTATAAAAAGTATTAATACTGATATTTTAAATTAAAATTTATAGATCATAAATATAAATTAATAGCAGATAAGAAAGCGGAAAATATAAATCTTTATCAATATTTTTACCGAATTCTTTGTTGTGGCGTTCTGATTGCATGGAATTCCGCGATAAAACAAAATTGACTTTTGGTGTAAAACACGAAACAAAGGGATCGTCTTTTTGATCTCCAGAGTACAAGGAGAGATTAAAACATTCCGAGGTATCACACGCTTCGGAATTCCAAATAGTTTGTCATTGTGCATTCTGTTGGTCATAGTAATCATCAACTGGAATTAATCACCTCAACAAAAGAAATTTTTAATCTTGGTATCTCTAAGTTAAAAACTTTTTTATTGATTACGTGCTCACCTTTTACCAATCGAAAATTCCAAGAGTCCTATATTAACAATGGATAATACCTACTACTCTTAAAAACGTATGATCAGCCCACAAATTGTGCTACGCTTAGGGATTTACTATATATGCGTGCATATAAAAATTTTTTTTTTTTTTAACCCACAATCATGTCACGATGGTTTGTCTTTATTGAGAAATTAAAACAAAATCTACAATAGTTTACAAATTTTCACAATGTGACTAACTTGTCTTCATACATAAGTACTCTAAGTCAAATTTTGGGAACAATATTACACTCTTCTAATAATAGATTGATTATGATCTCTATTAAGATCATTACCAATAGTTTGTCACTATTGATTGACCTGAAAACCAATAAATTGTCAAGTTAAAAAGGAAAAAAGGAAGAAAATGATTTGAGAAAAGGGACAATTCAAGATCCATCAAAAAAGTCAAAAAATAAAAACAATCTCCTTTTAAAAGAGATCTATTTGATTGAAATAATCTTCTTGTTTTACTTGAACCTTATAAGAAATCTTCTTTTTCATCACTTGCGATATCAGATAAGTCAATTCAACTGGTTCTTCATTTAAGTTAGGATATTTCAAGGAAAGCATTTAAACTTCAATTTTTTTTCATTAAAATCTTGTCACTATCTAAGGAACTTAAGTAAAAGATAAGAGTTTATAATTCATAATACTTATTACTTGATCTTTTGATATTATGGATATTTTCATTAAGGAACTTAAATTTCTAGAAACAAATATTTCCAAAATATTTTTTTCAATTATTAATAATTTTATTGGAACATTTGATATTATGGATATTTTTATTAAGGAACTTGGATTTCTGAAAACAAATATTTTCAAAATATTTTTTTCAATTATTAATAATTTCATTGGAACATATTAATATGATCAATAGGAGCTTGTTTATATTTCAAAAACTAAAATGTTTCATGTTATTTAATCATTTTTAATGAGAATTTGTACTATTCAAAATTTAGTATCAAACAGAGATAGGCAAAATTTCTTAAAAAATCATGAAAATAAAGTTATAAAAAAATTAAAACAGACAAAAAAAAAAAAGAAAATAAACCTTTTTAATGCAAAAAACCTTTATAAACCTCTTACTTCAAAGGTTAAAAAGGTCTTTAGATACTTTACAATCAGTTTTTCTTTTAAAAACTTTCTTGCTATTGATATAAAAGGTATTACTTGACTTTTCTTAATTATTAAGAGTCAAGTTTTTGAGTGAAAAGATTTGTAAACAAAAGAGAAAGAATAAAAATAACTCTTGAAATTATATTTCAAGTTGTTTTAAAAAAATATTAAGACTTTATTAGCAAAGAAGTATAAAAACTTCTTAACATCTTTTTTGTATATGTGATCAGAAAATCAACAAAAAAAGTTTTTTAATTAAAACTTACATATATAAAATATTATTATATTAATTTTCATAAAATTAAATAATATTATTATTTTAATTATATTATATATCTTTAATAAGATGTTAAATAAATATTTACAATATTATATTGACTTTCACTATTATTTTACACTATTTATTAAAGAACTAAATTATTTGAAAAATATAAAAAGTTCACTAAACTAGTTGAAATTAAGTGAATAAAATATTGATTTTCTGTTAAAAAAATTTATAAAAGTGTATTGGATAATATTATCATCTTCTTTTTAATCCTTAAAGAATATTATAAACATGTAGATATTGTTTTGAATACTTTACAACAATCTAACTTGATGCTCAATTCTAAAAAATGTCATTTCTTTCTAACAACTGTCAAGCTTCTATAAATACTGTATATAATCAACTATAAAAAAATCCAGTCTAATAAAAATAACACTAGACCTATAGCCATAAAACAAATTAAAAAATTCTTAGAATTGATGTTTTACTATAAAAAGTTTATCAAAAACTTTTTTATTATAGAATATCCTTTTAATCAATTATTAGAAAAAAAGTAAATTGAAACCTTAAAAACATAAATTTTAATACCTACGATATCTTGTAATATTCCGACTTTAAAAAACTATTTTACTTATATAAATAATGTTTTTGATACTTGGAACAATATTAACACAAAAAAATAAATATTAGGAGTTTATTCCGATAAAAGTTTATCAAAATATAGGATATTCTCATATAGTTTGTTTTGATGTTTCAGCATGCTACAGAAATAATATATCATATTTTGACTGGCTAGACCATCCTGATGAATCAGAATTAGTAATGTCATATCTTCTTAGCCGTGATTTATCAAAATAGAGTCTTGAAAAAATCTCTATAACTAAAATAAAGATAAAAACAATGTGAGACGAATTAACTAATTGTATTCGATTTATAATTGACTATATTTCTTCATATGTGGAAATAAATTAGCCATTTCAAGTCATACATTATTATATCAGAAGTATCTTGAATGGTGTGGAGAGAACGGTGAAAAGTCATTTTCTAATAACATTGCTGGGAAGAAATTCTTAGATACTGGTATTGAGAGTAAACAAATGTGGACAGGCAGTGAAAGAATTTTCTGATATACCTCATTCTGACTTACTCAAAATGAAACAATATACATGCCTATATTCAATGTGCCAAAAATTATTTCTCCCAAAATAATCTTGCTACAGCCAGTAAAAAATATATTACCACCTAGTAATAAGGGCAAGAACATTGACAACCAGGACAATTCGACCCAAGCTCTTTTTGACCATGTGGCAAAAGAAATGGAACCCAATTGCCTCAACATCCAGAACTCCTAAAGAATTCAAGTCTCTGAAAACTATCAATATAGTGATAAAGAAGTTCTTTCTAAGTCAGTAATTAATAGTTCTAAGACTAGCAAGTATCCTGAATCGATTGAGCCTATTTGTGAAGTAGTGAATACACCTCCTAAAGAAAAAAGTGTTATACGCAATTTACTCAAGCTCAATAAAGTAACATTTGCCATACTTCTGTTAAGAGCCCAGCCTCAGAAGACAATAGAACTTCTTGATGAGGATCCTGACGTATTTATAACTATCACAGAAAAAGACAGGCTTGATTTTATTGCATTCTGGGATAAGATGAAAACTGATAGTCAGATGTATAGTTATGCAAAAGAGATAGAAGATCTCAAAAAATATATGGAAATGACAGTGTGTAAAAAACTGATAAAAGAAGAGATTATTTGTTGTTCTCTCGAGAATAAGAGAATCACATCCTCCTGACTCGATAGTATTACTGTTTTTTCCTTTCCTTGATTTTGTGTCTCTCTATATAGAGTAAAGTTTCATTTTCTCCTTAAAGATTCTCTATTGTTACTCATAGTTAGTGAATCTGGTCTTGAAGTATGTCTATTAGTTCTAATATGATAGTTTCTATTATTCTGATCATCTATTGTTACTGTACTTTAATATTCAGTCTCAGTGTAGTTGTCTGTTTTCTTTTTATGATTATTATATCTTCAATTTTCTTCTTTTTCAATAGGATCATCTGAATTGTTTGAGTCATATAAGTTGTTTGAGTTGACAGATATTCTACTTTGATACTGATAATAGTTTTTTGCACTCTATACTAAGCTTTGGTTCTCAATCTTGATTTGTTGTTGAAGTATTTTTTTCAAGTCTTTTTTATTTTCAAAATAGATTACTGCATAATTTTCTAATAATAGAGTAATCTTATTTCTTGGTATATAGAAGACTTTTACTTTTATTTGATTAAGGGATTTGAATATCTGTTCTATAGATCTTCCACCAACCCTATATAGTCTTAAGGAGTGATACTTTCTTTCTTTAAATATATAGGTTATTTCTTAATAATCAGTTCTTTGTAAGCTATCATTGATCTTACTTAATTGGATTTAATTTTGAGTACTCCGTGTTATTTCAGTTTGGTATGCTTATGATGTATGAAGAGATAGATTCTAAATCTTTTTTAATAAAAAGCCATATGATATTCGTGAATATTGACTATTTCCTTGTATTTTTTCATTGACTTCCTAATTGATAGTTTATTATATTTGTGTTCTATGTCCACCAATATAATATATTTTGATCTGTTTTTTGCTAAAGAAAAGTTTTTTAACTTGAAAAATCTTTTACTCAGAGCATATCTTTGAAAAGTTAAATGTGTACTTCTATCTTAATCCATTTTTTTAATTAAAAAGTTTTTCTCTTCTTTTTATTAATTAATTCTAAATATTGTATTGCATCCTTCTTTTCATCAATATTAAAAGTAATCCAATGGTTGCCATTGATGAATTTGGTTTTGAAGAGATTTATTCTATTAGATAGACTTAAAGTTTTCTTGAGATATTTTATTCCTTCTTCTTTGTTATCTCCTGGTAGTGTAGCTTGAAATACTTTCGATTTAATTGTATTCATTTGTTTAATAAAGTAGGAATTAATTGTAAAACCTTGTATAAATAAAAAAACTCTTTCCACTGATTTTCTGACCACATACAAAAAAGATGTTTGCAAGAAGTTTTATACTTTCTTGCTAATAAAGTCTTTATATTTTTATTAAAACAACTTGAAGCTTATCTTTATTTATCTCTTCTACCCTTCCTTACTTGTTTATAAACTCCTTTAAATAAAAACTTGAGCCTCTAGTGGCCTAAAAAGACTTAAGTATACACTTTCTTTACTAAAGGCAAAAAGATTCTAGAAAGTAAAAGGACTGACAAGTGGAGTGTCACCTTACAGAGCTGGAAATGACAAGAAATAGAGGTTCTATTGACAGGGAAAGGCCTATTTTCCACCTTCTTATATATTGTCTTATACTCTCTTAAAATGCTTACTGTTTTTCACAGTTTTCTTGAGAGATTTTGTCTACCTCAGTTTGATCTTGAATTTTTGGTACCACAACATCACCTGGCATCTGATTGGTTAACATGAAACATATTAGTAACTAAATATAAACAAGTCCTATTGATCATCTCATGTATTCCAATAATGTCATTGATGATTGAAAGATAAATCAAGGATACAAACTTCTTCACTCCTCCAAATGAAGTTTAACTAAAGCAAAAAAATTATGAGGCCATTAAAATAGGTATTACATTCCCTAGGTAATAAAAAAATGATTATTTGTTCAAGCTGAAACCTTCAATTTCTTATTATTCCAGTCAGACAAAGTACATAAAGGAGATTATTTTTTATCCCAGTTAGGTTGTAAGATCAAAAAGTAGTAAAATATAAAACACTACCCTTCTCTAGGATTAAGAATGCATTTCTCCAGATGTTGTATAATAATATCGCAATCAAGATAAATATCAATAAAATTCTTTTAACTAGGTGTGGCTGCTGAAAGATATCGGAAGTTATTCAACAAGATTGAAAAGTCATATAAGAATCTGGGATTCACCATTAGTCATCTTCTTTTGTGTAGATGAATACAAAATCAAGACTAAAAGAAAGGAAATATTGAATAAGACATTGGATCTAAATAGTTAATAAGTATCTTAGATAATTACAAGAGAATAATTAAGAGCATAAATAGATAAGTTCCTTAGATAGTCAGAAAGAATAAGGATATCCCAGAAAGGTTGACTCCTAATGAGAAGAGGTTTCTAGCAAAGATCCTTTGGAGGACATGGAGTATTTTTAATTTTTTTTTTTCTTTTAATTTTCATATAATGCATTTGTATATTTTTATATATTCTCCTTATCTTTTATTTTTCCTTTTCTTTTTTATAGTTTCTCAAATTCAGTTTTTTGGAGAATAATAAGTAATAACAACCTGCTGGCAATGATGGGTAAGTTAGGAGGGTCTTTACTCAAAACTTGGTTCAAAATAAAATATTGTTTCTAAGATTGTACTTAGAGGCTGAAGCTCTTTTAAAAATTGAAAGCCATTGATGTGTGTGCCAGTACAAGTTTTTTAGTTTAGTCATGATACAATTGTTATATGTATTTCTATCAGTTTTTATAATGATTAATAAATATATAGTATTGGCTTGATTATGGGTTTGAAAAAAAAAATTTTTAAATATAGAATCTTATATCCTATTTCATATATTATAAGAAACATTTTCTGTAATATAAATTCTTTGAACTATTTCTTTGATTATTTCTACTTCTGCCTACTCTGTTATAATCCTGTCTTCTATTTAAACTATTTAAACTTCTTTAGTCAAATTGATTTCTTCAGTTTCTATAGAAGTTAATTGAATATCCATTGAAATATTATCTATTTCTGTGATTTCTTTTACACTGTTGCTTGAGATATAATTTCCTATCTTGTTTGTTAATATATTTTACACTTTTTCTTCAAGCATAAAAGCTTCTAGGTCTTGTCTCTTATCTTGTCCCTTTTCTCACAAAGTGATAATATATTTTCTCAATATATGTTCTTTTGCTAAAGTTAAAGGATCTATATTTAACTAAATAACAATAATATTGTCTAATATTAAGATTATATGAATTGCTTCTACTGAAATATATGATTAATCTTCTGTCTTGTATCTTAGCTTATATTGAAGCATTTTTGTTTCCCATAGTTCTTGCCAGAAATCATGACTGGTAACAATATTTTCTAATATTTTTAGAATTTCTTGCTTATGTTTTTCTAGAATTCTAATAATATTTTGTTTTTTTTTGAGTCATATTGTCACATAAGACAGATAAACTATTATGTATATTGGATTGTTTTGATATTTTATTGTTTTTCTACATGATAATCTATAAATAAGAAATTATATTAGATTATGTAATCAGATAATCTTTGTCAATATATTGTTTATTCATATATTTTAATCTTATATACTGGTCTTATTTATCTATATATATTGTATATTATTTGTTTATTACTTGTGATATAATTGAATTGACATAGATTACTATTTTGAAGCATATTGAAGTGTTATGAGTTGTTATTTTGTTACGTCTAGAATCTATTTACTTTTAAATATTCATGTTCACATAATGTAAGCTGATAGATCAGTTGTTATGATTATTTATTATTGATCTTTCTATTTGACCCAAGAAATTTGAATAACCTTCTAGATTTTTTGAACCTTAAGTTTAAGCTAATTTATTAATTTGGATTATTGCTTTTGAAATTTTTTTTAATACTTAAAAAGGTATTAACCTGTATTGGCCTGACTAAAAGCTTTGTGAAATTGATATTGGGTCTCAAGAAAGCTATTGTGAATTAGTTTATCTTTGTTTTCTCTTATTTCTAAAGCAAATCCAAAATATAAGGATATTGTTGTTAGCTAATATTGTTCTTTTGTTATTGTTAGAAATCAATTGTATATTATATAAAGAGGAGTAATTGTTATTACTATCTCTTCTTGAGGTTGTTTCTTGTGAGAAGATTTTTCTTTTAGAAAATTACTATAAAAGAAAATTTTCTAAAAATTTAAAGATTAGTGGAAAGAATTTTTTTTTTATTAAAGTAGTTTTATTTTTTATATTTTTAAATATATATATATATTTTTTTTTTATTAAATTTTATTAAATAGTTATGAAATTATAAGTAAAAATAAAATGAAAAAATGAAGGCAAAAAGTTTTGCTTCAAACTATATACAGTTTGTTGCAAAAGTCTTTGAACTAATATTGTTTTGTGATTTTTATTTATAATTTAATAATCAATAAATAAAATAAATAAAATTTTATATTTATATTGTTCAAAATATAGAAAATAAGATTATTTAAAAAAATTATAAACATTCAATTTGAAAATAAAGAATCAATTTTTTATGATATCCAAATTTCCATTGTAGCTTATAAATGAAAAAAATTTATTGAAATTATTTTAATGAATAGATTTATTAAATAAAAACAATTAATTTAATAAAATAATTTTTTATTAACTATAAATTAAATCAAATAGTTAACAATTTTTAAAATTTTATGTAACTATTATAGTAAAATCAAAATTTTTTAAAGTTTTAAAGAATTTTTAAAATTAATTTTATATAATAAAAAAATAATTTAATTGTAAAAAAAATTATTTGCATTTAATGAGAAATTTTTTGTTATTTTTTTATAAATTAAAAATTTTTTCTTGATTTTATAAATAATTTTTTACAAAAATCTATCATAGTAAAAATTGTATTTTTTACGTTTTTTATATGTAAATTTTATATATAAAATTCATCAATAAAATGATGCCTATTTTTTTTTTTTTGTACTTCAAATTAATATTTTATAATAAATTATTGATTAATAATTGATAAAACTTTAAATATATAATGATATTCTTATGATAAAAACATTAAA